CAGACAGCAGAGGTAGCTTCCTCCCTCCAAACTTAACCTTCCTACCCTCTGATTTGTCTCCCTGGGTCAAGCACCTTCTCTCTCATATAGTTTCATCTGGGCAATTTAAAAAATTTAACAGTAGTTTTCTTTAATGACGGAGCTTCAAATTCCCTTTTGTCGGCACATCCAGACTATTTATGGCAGAAGTCATCTCAGTTTTTACAGGGAAATATGGCAGGCTGGAGTAAGAGGTATGGTGGGGGTACACCTCCCCCCGGTACCTGTTTCGTCCGGGGAGCTGGGGGAGGCGCTGTCCTGGGACAACGTGGTCCAGCTGGACTCCTCATCGCTGGGCGCCAGGTTCTGGATGCGGTGCAGCGCGCAGTCGGTTTTGGCCCCGGTTTTGGGATGGTCCTTTTTGGTCTCGGGGCTGGAGGACACCGTGGCCACGTGGCCGTCCTCGGGACTGGCCTGGGGCGTGTTGGGCTTCTGGAGCAGCAAGTCGCCGTTCCCGAGGATGCCGGCGGCCTGGCCCAGGCCGGGCTGGGGCTTCTCCGCCCCATCGTCCGGGTGGAGGCCCAGGCTCTGGTCCAGCTCTCTGGCCGAGGTCTCCAGGTCCGCATAGTAGTTCAGGAAGCTCTTAGTCCTCCTGGGCTGGGCGGGTAAAACCTCGCAGCCCGAGGACTCCTGCGGGTGGGCCTCCTTGCCCTCCAACTTCTCAGAAGGGACCTGGAGGACAGCGGTGGGGCCCACGTTTTTGTTGGGGTCCTGCTGCCCCTGCTCCGCCGCCTTTCGGAGCTGGTTCTCCCCATTCTTCACCAGTTTGCTGTTGGCAGAACTGGTCCCCAGCAGGGGCTGCGCGGCCGGGTCCGAGAGGCCCATGGCCGCCTGGATGTTGGTCAGCGCATACTTCTTTCTGCACTTCGGGGGGGTGCTGCTCTTGGCCTCGGCGTGCCTTATCTCAGCGTTCAACAGTTCATTGTGTGAGGATCGGAGCTGAAGGGTGTTCGGGGGTGTGACCGGGCTGTTGCGGTTGGCGACGTCTGTGGTTCCGCTGCTGGCCATAAACACGGCCAAGGTGTCGACACCCGTGTCACCTGGAAGAAAGGGACACTGGTCATGAGCCGCCTGGCAGGATTAGATGACTGGGCATGCAGTGGGGGTGAACGCTTTTAAACGGAAAATGGAAAGAATAAGTGCTTCTTTATTCATACTTGTAGAGCTAACCCATTGTTTTCCTTATTTTTATGTGTTCATATATTAAATAGGAGCGAATAAAGGGTTTAAGGTGGATACTCAAAAGCCAACTTACAGAAATGCTAATGAGGCCGGGCACAGTGGGTTATGCCTGTAATCCCAGTATTTTGGGAGGCTGAGGTGGGAGGACTGCTTGAGTTCAGGAGTTGGAGACCAGTCTGAGTAACATAGCAAGACCTCATCTCTACAAAAAAAAAAAAATTAGAAAATTAGCTGGGTGTGGTGGTACACACCTATAGTCCCAGCTGCTTGGGAGGCTAAGGCAGAAGGATGGCCTGAACCCAGGGGGTCGAGGCTGTGGTGAGTTGGGATTGTGCTACTGTGCACTCCAGCCTGGGAGACAGAGTGAGAAGTCTACTCAAAAAAAAAAAAAAGGAAGGAGATGCTAATTAGTCTGGTGGTTTAAATTATACTTAGCATAAAAAAGCACCTCTCAGCCTGTAATCTCGCGCCTATGGGAGGCTGAGGTGAGTGGATTGCCTGAGCCCGCGGGTTCGAGAACTGCCTGGGCAGCAAGACCTCATCTCTACAATAAATCAAAAAATCAGCCATGCGTGGTAGCGCATGCCTGTAATTCCAGCTACTTGGAAGGCTGAGGCGGAAGGATCACCGGAGCCCAGCAGGTCGAGGCTGCGGTGGCCGGGAGCGGTCACTGTACTCCAGTCTGGGCGACAGAGTGAGACTCCAACTCAAAAAAAAAAAAAAAAAAAAGCACTTCTCTTTTGTATTCATATAAAAGCACACTCTTTGGTGGCTGGCCCTCTTTTTTCACAACCTTGGAAAAGCATCCCCTTTCTAAATATTCCCACCACACTTTTATTCTATGGTTCGTTCAAGCAACAACAAAGTTGCTCCAAATCTTTCAGGTTTCTTAATTAACCTGAAAGGTAGCTGCTCAACAATGCTCCACACAGACAAGGTAATTCTTCTCAACCGTATTTAGAGACTGCTCTGAATGCCTGAAGAGTCACACCTCCGTCAGTTTGCCACTGTCTTTGTGGATTCTGTTGACCTGGGCTTAGTGTTTGTACTAAACAGAAATTGTGAAGAATTGGCTTAATATTTTCATGAACACACACATGTGCAAACACACACACACACACAACACTATTACTAACAACATAGCATTGAGCCCTGAGCTGCAGACAACACATTGCAGCTCTCGAAGGCGTCTGAAAACACTCCCCTGAATTGAAGCACACACTCAGCAGTTTGCAGTCATCATGTGCCCTCATAGAACTCCCCGGAAACTATCTGACAGTTACATTTCTCTCAAATATTGCTCACACCATGAGTGATTTATACCATTTGTCTCCAACTAGGAGGAAAGAAAGGTTTCTCAGATTAGAAAGGAACATAATTCACCATCAGGTGTTCTTGGGGTTTCGAATTTCTCAGTCTATGAAGAATGACTTCTTCCTTATCTGATCCTCGGGCCTCCACCGAGGCCTTGGTGACCCCTACAGCAGCTGCAGACAGACCAGAGCACAGTTCCTAACATTCCTGAAATCGTCTTCCGACAACTCCCTCCTCCTCTCCCAGGCAAGGCAGGGATCTCCATGAAGAGAAGGGTAGGAATTCCCCCCAGTTCAGTAGCAGGGAGGCTTCTCTCCATCATCAGACCCTCAAGTTGGGCAATTTTAGACAAGAGTCATTTATAAATTCTAGAGTCCTTGTGCTTCTAGGAAGCTAAGTGACAACTCTCTGCTCTCGATGATATACATACATGTAACAAATGATCACTTGGCCCATCAGTCCAAAGTGGTTAGATCTTGGGTCTGTCTGTTTTTTTGGGTTTTTTTGTCAGATGTTCACTCTAACACCCAGGCTGAAGTGCAGTGGTGCGATCACAGCCACTGCAGCCTCGACCTGCTGGGCTCAGGCAATCCTTCCACCTCAGCCTTCCAAGTAGCTGGAACCACAGGTGTGTGCCACCAACGTCTGGCTAATTATTTTGATTTATTGTAGAAACAAAGTCTTGCCTTGTTGCCCAGGCTGGTCTCCAATCCCTGGGCTCAGCAGTTCTCTCACCTTGGCCTCCCAAAGTGCTGGAGTGCAAGCGTGAGCCATCACCTGTTGTCCCTTTCCTTAAAGTTCCTGTTTATAAGGATTTCTGTTACTCAGCACCCCACCCTAGCCCTGAGGTCTTGTGTTATAGAAATAGACAATCTAGTGTGAATCCTTTTTTTAAAAAAACTGTTTTATGTTTTTTTCCCTCTGCTCAGTCCTTTCAAATTATACTTCGATCATTTATTTTTAAATTTTTTGTATTACTGTTTGGCTACTACTACTATTAAACATGTTTCAATTTGTAATTCAACCTTACTCCAGAGTAGCATTTGCTATGAGAAGGCCCTATCTTGAACCCACAGTAAGTTATTCCTGAGACACAGTTCCATAGCATAAATACAAAAAAGAAAGTTATTTTTTAAGGGTATTTAGGTGACATTATAAGAAAGTGCAAATCTGCTAGCTTCCCAAAAGGCATGGCAACAAATTTCTCTGAGGCTGTTTTATGGTGTTAGGTCTGTATTCTAGCAATGTTATTAGGGAGAACTTTTTAATGTACTTTGTTTATAACTGTAAACATTTTCAGAAAGAATGCTATCAGGTTTTTAGGTGATTTTTTTTTTTTGAGTCAAGTTTTACTCTGTCACCCAGGCTGGAGTGCAGTGGCATGATCATAGCTACTGCAGTCTCAACCTCCTGGGCTCAGGCAATCTTTCTGCCTCAGCCTCCCAAGTAGCTGGCACTATAAGCATATGTTACCATGCCCGGCTAATTTTTTGGATTTATTGCCAAGTTGCCCAGGCTGCTCTTGAACCCCTGGGCTCAGAGGCTCTAGGCAATTTTAATTAAGTAGTTTTTCCATCCCAGATATGACAGAAAACTTTTAGCCACTTTTCTCCCAGCCTTTGAACCCCATTGTCCTCTCAGGAACCTTGTAACTCTTCTGATTGCTAGAAATCATGGAAAGTAGACAGGAAGGAGAAGAGACTGAATTAGAATAGGCCCAACCAATAGCAACTGGACGTAAAAAAATATGCTGATTTTATATATCAAAGCCTGACCACAGTTTGAGTAATGCCTTAGATATAAAATAATGGTATCAGCCAGGTACAGTGACTCACGCCTGTCATCCCAGCACTTTGGGAGGCCGAGGCAAGAGGATGGCTTGAGTCCAGGAGTTTGAGACCAACCTAGACAACATTGCGAGAACTTGTCTCTACAAAAGTCCAAAAATTAGCTGGGCATGGTGGTGCACACCTGTAGTCCCAACTACTCAGCAGGTTGAGGTGGGGGGATCGCCTGAGCCCAGGAGGTCAAGGCTGTGGTAAGCCACGATCATATCACTGTACTTCAGCCCAGGTGACAGAGTGAGACATGACTAAAGAAATAAATGTAAGACGGGCTCGGTGGCTCAGGCTGTAATCCCGTGCTTTGGGAGGCTGAGGTGGGTGGATTGCCTGAGCCCGCGGGTTCGAGACCCGCCTGGGCAACTTGGCGAGACCTCATCTC